GGGTGGTGAATGTACCACGTGTCCAGCAAGTTAATGTCAGCAGTGTGGAATATATCCTGGTGAATGTACCACGTGTCTTATACAGCAAGTTAATGTCAGCAGTGTGGAGTACTTCCTGGTAAATGTACCACGCGTGTGATACAGAAGTTAATGTCAGCAGTGTGGAGTACTTCCTGGTAAATGTACCACGCGTCTGATACAGCAAGTTAATGTCAGCAGTGTGGAGTACTTCCTGGTAAATGTACCACGTATCTGATACAGCAAGTTAATGTCAGCAGTGGGGAGTACTTTCTTGTAAATGTACCACGTGTCTAATACAGCAAATTAATGTCAGCAGTGGGGAGTACTTCCTGGTAAATGTACCACGCGTCTGATACAGCAAGTTAATGTCAGCAGTGTGGAATACTTCCTAGTAAATGTACCACGTATCTGATACAGCAAGTTAATGTCAGCAGTGGGGAGTACTTTCTTGTAAATGTACCACGCGTCTGATACAGCAAGTTAATGTCAGCAGTGCGGAAAATATCCTAGTGAATGTAGCACGTGTCTGATAAAGCAGGTTAATGTCAGCAGTGTGGGGTATATCCTGGTGAATGTACCACGTGTCTGGTACAGCAAGTTAATGTCAACAGTGTGGAATATATCCTGGTGAATGTACCACGTGTCTTATACAGCAAGTTAATGTCAGCAGTGTGAAGTACTTCCTGGTAAATGTAGCACGTGTCTGATAAAGCAAGTTAATGTCAGCAGTGTGCGGTATATCCTGGTGAAATTACCACGTGTCTGATACAGCAAGTTAATGTCAGCAGTGTGGAATATATCCTGGTGAATGTACCATATGTCTTATACAGCAAGTTAATGTCAACAGTGTTGAGTACTTCCTGGTAAATGTACCACGCGTCTGATACAGCAAGTTAATGTCAGCAGTGTGGAGTACTTCCTGGTAAATGTACCACGCGTCTGATACAGCATGTTAATGTCAGCAGTGTGAACTACTTCCTGGTAAATGTACCACGTATCTGATACAGCAAGTTAATGTCAGCAGTATGGAGTACTTCCTTGTATATGTACCACGTGTCTAATACAGCAAATTAATGTCAGAAGTGTGGATAATATCCTGGTAATTGTACCACGTGTCTTATACAGCAAGTTAATGTCAGCAGTGGGGAGTACTTCCTGGTAAATGTACAACGTGTCTGATACAGCAAGTTAATGTCAGCAGTGTGAAGTACTTCCTGGTAAATGTACCACGTGTCTGATACAGCAAGTTAATGTCAACATTGTGGAGTACTTCCTGGTAAGTGACCCACGTGTCTGATACAGCAAATTAATGTCAGAAGTATGGAATATATCCTGGTAAATGTACCACGTGTCTGATACAGCAGGTTAATGTCAGCAGTGTGGAGTACTTCCTGGTAAATGTACCACGTGTCTGATACAGCAAGATAATGTCAGCAGTGTTTAGTACTTCCTGGTAAATGTATAACGTGTCTAATAAAGGAAGTTAATGTCAACAGTGTGGGGCATATCCTGGTGAATGTACCACGTGTCTGATACAGCAAGTTAATGTCAACAGTGTAGAGTACTTCCTGGTAAATGTACCACGTGTCTGATACAGCAACTTAATGTCAGCAGTGTGGAGTACTTCCTGGTAAATGTACAACGTGTCTAATACAGCAAGTTAATGTCAACAGTGTGGAGTACTTCCTGGTGAATGTACCACGTGTCTAATACAGCAAGTTAATGTCTCAAGGGGTTAGTATATCCTGGTATATTTGAGTTATTGCAGTCTCAGACGTATATACTTTATGCTTTCACATTCCAGTAGATGGCAAGTTAAAGTTAACATCGTGAAATACTTTAGGCTCATGTTTATACACTATCCGATATGTTAGGGAATGGTTATGCAAGGGATAGTTCGTAAAGCAAATAAATGTTTGTCCATGCAATAAAACAGCGTGTGATTCATAGTAGTCTTATGTTACCCGATTAAGAAAGTTCTGTGTCTGAACAGCTACGTATTCAACGGATACTGTGTTAAGTGATGCAGTATACCATCTGATAGTACCTCACGCTGGCGCTTTGAGGACGGGCTAATTTGCATATCACGTGACCAGACCGGCCAAAATGAATGCGGTTCGTGAGTTTGCATATTGTTTTGCACAATTATTTAGATAGTCTAGTACAGCTGAGACAGTGAGACGCACGACGAATGTATCGCTTCTCAAATATCAAGGCAACATAATAAGTTGGTTGGTTGTTGTGTAACATCGCACGCAATATTCCAGCTATATGGCGGATCCTAATAAGTTAAGTGGTATGTTAAATCCAAAGTCCACCCCCCATATAGTGAGTTACAATTAACGTCACTTGTAATGTCAGCCACATGCGACCCCTACAATAGGGTGAGTAAGTATGGTTTAAGCCACTTTTAACAGTACTCCACAAGTATCCCGGCGTTGGACACCAGATTCACACGTGGCGGAATCGAACCCGGGTCTTCAGTGTGACCAGCGAACGCATTAACCACCAGACAACTCCAAAGACAAATTACTAGTCGGGTGTTTGTATGCATTCTCCATTATAGAAATATTCAGCCACTAGTCCTATCTAATATCTAATAGCTCTCGGGCGGTGGGGTAGCCTAATGGTTAAAGCGTTGGCTCGTCACGCCGAAGACCCGGGTTCGAAACCCCACATGGGAACAATGTGTGAAGCCCATTTCTGGTGTCCCCCGCCGTGATGTTGCTGGAATATTGCTAAAAGCGACGTAAAACCAAACTCAGTCAGTGAGTCTAATAGCTCTCGACAATGACATATCACGGCGAATGAATAACTAGGACACTCGCCGGTTTCGTGTTCACGTCAGTAATGTTTTCGGCCTCTTATACCCTTCCTTGAAGATTGGTGTGTTATTGTGGCATTTAAGCTGATATGATACAAACCTGATCCGACTGATTGGTCTGTCGTATAATCATCGTAACATATAGTCTCAAATGCCTGCTGGATGATATTTGGATCGGACGAGTGTGAAAATATGTTTCCTTACCTGTCAGTCGTCTCTGAGTTGTGCGAAGGAAGTTACAGTGCACGCTATGTATAGCTCACACACTGGATTTCCCGAGAATTGATCCAGGGCTTTTCCCAAGCATTGTGTGTTTTTCGGGGAACTGGATGACTCATTCTATATAGGCCACGGGGGCGTGTCACGCTTAGAAACAACATTAGAAAGACATATAGGTATATAGACCCTACCCTAGTACATATAGGTATATAGACTCTACCCTAGTACTACATTTTATAGAGAGAGAGAGAGAGTGATGATTTTTATGGAGAAACATGTACAATGTGAATGACCCCCGCTTAATTAATGTCATGTAAAAATATGTAAAAAAAACAACGACTCCCCTCCCACTTCCCATGGTTTCAAAGCATATTTTAAAAGTAATTTAATGTACACAATTGCCCCACACACACACACACACACACACACACACACGTGTGTACTGGCTGTAGTTAGGACACATGTTTAGTTGGGAGAGAACAACAGATAGACCTGGCGGTTGTCGCTGATCTACTAATTAAATTGTGTTCAAGTGTTGACCCCACCCCCCGCTATCAAAACGTCAAAGAATGCCGGAGTTTATCTGGTAATTTACTGATTCATATTCATGTCATTACACTCCCTTATGTTGTATGCTACTGCCACCTGCACTATGCTCGTTGACATTCACCGCTGGCAGCGTTCCCACAGGTATATAGCAATGTGAACATTTTATGAATTCAAAGGTACGATAACGAAACACAAAGGTCTTTGGAAAAATGGGTTCATGAGTACGTGGATAGGAAAGCTTCTCGGTGTTTGTGATATTCCTGTAAATGTCTGTGGGCACATGAGATATTATGGGTAATTGTATAGGAAATTCATGCTTATTAAATTCCCTCTACAGTTGTCTGGGATGATGGGGTAGCCTAGTGGTTACGTCGCCGAAGATCCGGGTTCGATTCCCCACTTCGGCACAATATGTGAAGCCCATTTCTGGTGTCCCCCGCCGTGATATTGCTGGAATATTCCTAAAAGCGGCGTAAAACTAAACTCACTCACTAACCCAACAGTTTTTGCTAATTCAGGTTTAGAATAGAGCGGTGTCGGCTATAACAGAACACAGTTTCATTTCCCTAAAGTAGTTAGTGAACGGTTTCATGACTTCAATCTGACCTGACAATCACCGACTGAATACTATATGAATATAATTTGTTTAATTTATTTGACTTTTAACAACGACACTTACTTTTAAACATTCAAAACGTGCACTGGGTAAGAGCGGTGTCAAAACATATAATCCATGGCAAAAGATAGCGATGACAATTATATGAATAGATGACTGAAAAATCATTGATAACATCATATGAAATACCAAACTAAGAAGAAATAGTTTCAGTATCTACAAAGGTCTTTTACACTGTGACCCGGAGCGATGGGGTAGTCTAGTGGTCACACCGAAGACCCGAGTTCGATTCCCACATGGGTACACTGTGTGAAGCCCACTACTGGTCTCCCCCGCTGTGATATTGCTGGAATATTGCTAAAAGCAACGTTAAACTAAATTCACTAAAGAGCGAGTGTGAGTGAGTGAGTTGGGTTTTACGAAGCTTTTAGCAATATTCCAGCAATATCGGGGCGGGGGGACACCAGGTATGGCCTTCGCATATTGTACCCATGTGGGGAATCGAACCCGGGTCTTCGGCGATATGAGAGAATGCTTTCACCACAAGGTTACCCCACCACTCCAAACAGTGTAAAAGTGAGTGAGTGAGTGAGTTTAGTCTTACGCCGCACTCAGCAATATTTCAGCTATATGGCGGCGGTCTGTAAATAATCGAGTCTGGACCAGACAATCCAGTGATCAACAGCATGAACATCGATCTACGCAATTGGGAACCGATGACATGTGTCAACCAAGAGAGCGAGCCTGACCACCCGATCCCGTTAGTCGCCTTTTACGACAAGCATGGGTTACTGAAGATCAATATTCTAACCCGGATCTTCACGGGTGGTACATGTGACTAACATACTCCATCTTCTTACATGTTGTGTATGGTTGCATTATTTCCTTCCCCAGTAAGCATCCCCCTCAGCATCCTTCCACTGTACGTAGCCAGCTGCATCTGTTTGAGGATGTTTTGTATCCTCTGAAATGTAACAAGTATGTGCTAGAGACGTGGGTGGATCCTCAATACCTTTGACTGGTCTTGGAGGGGAATTCAATTCTTCAGTATTTTTGCGGTCACAGACGTAAGCGAAGTTCGGTCCATCGATTTGTTTACCAGTAGGCACCCCTTTAACTTCATTCCAGGCTACGTAACCCGCAGTATCTGTTTGAGGGCGCTCGCCATTTACGGAAGTGATGTAAGGGTCACGTGATTGTGACGTAGATGGTTCATCAATAGCTGTGAATGACCTTGAAGTGCAATCCAATTCATTAAGGTCCATGACGTCAGAAACGTGTACGTATCTAGGTCCATTGATTCCAGTACGAATAAGCATCCCTTTATCTTCATTCCAGGCTACATAACCCGCTGCATCTGTTTGAGGGCGTTTGTCATTTATTGAAATAGAATAATAGACATGTGATTGAGGCGTCAATGGATCGTCAGTAAAAGTAAAATCTGACTCAATAATGTCGACATTACCAACGTGAGCAGGTCTGGATCCATAAACGGAATCGTCTGTACCGACATTATAAGATGACGGCTGATGTTGGTCAGAGTTGTTCACCTCAGACAGACTTGGGACTCGAGACTCGACGCCAGTTCCCACATCGATTGATTCATATGTATTGGGTCCATCATCTCCGACAGACGTCCTCGTGTCTGATACTGGTGTAATATAAGTGTCAAGAGGTCTGTGAAAAGGAAATACATAGCAGATAAATATATACACAATATAACGTTCAGTTTCCTATTTTCTAGATCTAGTTCAGAATCAGTGTACGACACTCGATGCGGTTAGTTCTGTTCAAAGAGAGGCCCAGACATTTGAAACGATCTTAGTGCAAAATAATCGTGAAGTTTTCGTAAGAAAACCGAAGACTGTCGTCGCCTATTTGCGAAAGATAAAACCCTAAGATATCGTAAGAGGGCGTAAATTAAAGATTTTTTTCAACAGATACTGGATAATATCTGTTACTGGATGCTCACGACATACGCCAGACAATCAGTCTTGGAGTTACATGCACTACTTGGTCTCCTTTCACAAAGCACTAAGGTGATCGTAAGTCACTAAGGTGATCGTAAGTCACTAAGGTGATCGTTAGTCACTAGGGTGATCGTAGGTCACTAAGGTGATCGTAAGTCACTAAGGTGATCGTTAGTCACTAGGGTGATCGTAGGTCACTAAGGTGATCGTAAGTCACTAAGGTGATCGTTAGTCACTAGGGTGATCGTAAGTCACTAAGGTGATCGTAAGTCACTAAGGTGATCGTAAGTCACTAAGGTGATCGTAGATCACTAAGGTGATCGTAAGTCACTAAGGTGATCGTAAGTCACTAAGGTGATCGTTAGTCACTAGGATGATCGTAAGTCACTAAGGTGATCGTAAGTCACTAAGGTGATCGTAAGTCACTAAGGTGATCGTAAGTCACTAGGGTGATCGTAGGTCACTAAGTCGATCGTAAGTCACTAAGGTGATCGTAAGTCACTAAGGTGATCGTTAGTCACTAGGGTGATCGTTAGTCACTAGGGTGATCGTAAGTCACTAAGGTGATCGTTAGTTACTAAGGTGATCGTTAGTCACTAAGGTGATCGTAAGTCACTAAGGTGATCGTAGGTCACTAAGGTGATCGTAAGTCACTAAGGTGATCGTAGGTCACTAAGGTGATCGTAAGTCACTAAGGTGATCGTTAGTCACTAAGGTGATCGTAGGTCACTAAGGTGATCGTACGTCACTAAGGTGATCCTAGGTCACTAAGGTGATCGTAAGTCACTAAGGTGATCGTAAGTCACTAAGGTGATCGTAGGTCACTAAGGTGATCGTAAGTCACTAAGGTGATCGTAGGTCACTAAGGTGATCGTAAGTCACTAAGGTGATCGTTAGTCACTAAGGTGATCGTTAGTCACTAAGGTGATCGTAGGTCACTAAGGTGGTCGTTAGTCACTAAGGTGATCGTAAGTCACTAAGGTGATCGTAAGTCACTAAGGTGATCGTAAGTCACTAAGGTGATCGTAAGTCATTACTGTTAAAAAATGGGAGTTAATGTTAACCTTTGTAAGGTTGCTTCGTGAAAGGAGCCTCTGTTCTACATATCTAGAAGGAGGAGGTTAGGACTGGCCATCGATATAGATCACAGAGATCGTTAACCGTTCTAAATATCGATCGATTATCGACAAACATCAGACACGTAACTTTGAGCAAAAATGCAAAAATATTCGGTAAGAAATACATTTCACATCACTGGTGAGTTGTGACATGTTTATGCATGGACTATTAACGAAATAGCATCCTGAACATAATTTAGAAGCAGGCCATGAATAAGGTCTTAAATGTGTATATTGTGTGAGAAAATTAGAACGTTTCTTGTATCACAAAAGTTCATGTACGATAGTATTGATAACATAAATTTAATATCGGTAATCATTGATAATTTTTCCCATCGACGATATTTCCGATTATCGAGTACGTTAGACAGCCCTAGACTAATTAGAGACGAAATACTTACGTTGGGTGAAAGGATTCTGTAAAATGATAAAAAATGAACACTTATTATTTCCATTTCATACTCACAATGATTCAAGATAAGGCTTGTCTAAAGTCAGAGAATTAGCTCTGTGGTTCGCATGTGAGTTAGTGAGTGAGTTCAGTTTTACGCCGCTTTTAGAAATATTCCACCAATATCACGGCGGTTGACACCAGAAATGGGCTTCACAAATTGTGGGGATTCGAACCTGGGTCTTCAGCGTGACGAGTGAAAGCCTTAACTACTAGGTTATCCCACCGCCCCTGTTCGCATGCACACGTTTGTAAGTATGCAGTGGCAGTGATAACTTTAAAGCCATTATCTTACCTTTCAGTGTTTTGTAAGCACGACGGTAAATGACAACAGTAAGTGCGACAATCAACATCACAGCCAGACAGGACACCAATATCACACTTATCAGCGTACTTCTTGTATCTGTGGATAGAGGGGAAACACAAGATAACATATAATGACGTGTGAGTGAATTAAATATACCGTCAGTGATACTTCAAGTCTACCGCAACTTCTTGTACTTATGTGTCGGCAAATCTAGTGGTGGATAGTATGAACATCGACCAATGACGTCATAGGATGAACGCACACGATTGGCTACTCCACACATCAATGTCAGTGACACCAGCATGTGTATATTACACCACAGATCAGTTTAGACGTTATCTACGTCAGCGGTCGGAAACTTAATTGAAAAAAAATGTGACACCACGATCACAATTATCAGCGTACTTCTGGAATCTGTGGATAATGGTTAACACTAGATAATGACGTGTGAATCATATATCCTGTACTTTTATGTCGGGACAATCTAGTGGTGCATAGTGTGAACAACGACCTATGACGTCATGGGATGAACGCACACGATTGGCTACTCCAAACATCGTAATGCACTTGATCAGTATCAGCCACACTTTGTGACACCAACATGTGTATATTACACCACAGATCAGCTGAAACGTTATCTACCTCAGCGGTCGGTAACTTAACAGAAAGAAAATATGACCGGGTCATTTATGAATAGGTATCGTACATAAGACTTCTTTTTGTCATCCTATGTCCATAAATGTATGTTTCAGTTGCCTGTAATAAGCACATGGATTCATGAAGAATGATGATAATATTTTTATGGATATAAAACCTCTTTATTCTGTGGGCCGGTGGGGGTAGCCTAGTGGTTAAACCGTTGGCTCGTCACCCCGAAGACCCGGGTTCGAATCCCCACATGGGTACAATGTGTGAAACTCATTTCTGGTGTCCAGATGTGATGTAGCTGGAATATTGCTAAAAGAGGCGTAAAACCATACTCAGTCAGTCAGTCTTTATTCTGTACATCTATAAAAATACTATCATCATTCTTCATCACCTAAGCTTCTCAATATCCACCAAAGAAGACAAGGAGTCACGCTCATATAGGAGTTACACAAAGGAAACAACAGACCGTGAGGTGAGGGTGTTTATAGTCCGTTTGGCTCAAAAGCGGACCGATGAATTGCAACCTAACTCGAAAACTAATAAACATAAAATACTCAATGAAACGCTGATCATAATCAAAACATCAGACCAACTCTGTGATTTGTTTGCAGAATTTATGTTCTAAAATTAAAAAAAGATGTTTAACAAACTATCATTCAAATATTGACACAGTTCACTATTTGTTACGAGGGAGGAGTGCAGAGAAAGGGACAGCCAGGTGTTAGAGAAGCACGTGCACAAGTACCGACAAAGTTATTGATTCATCAACCTGTGCTGTGCCGTCTCCATCCTTTCTCGAACACCTGGATGTCCCTTTCTCTGCACTCCTCCCTCGTAACAAATTGTGAACTGTGTCAATATTTTAATGATAGTTTGTTAAACAACTTTTTTTATTTTTTAGGACATAAATTCTGCAAAAACCTCACATAGTTGGTCTGACGTTTTGATTATGATCAGTGTTTCATTGAGTATTTTCTGTTTATAGGTTTTCGAGTTAGATTGCAATTCATCTGTCCGCTTTTGAGCCAAAGGGACTTTACTTAGCATTCGAGATTATTGAATGTAAATATCGACGTTGGCTGTTTGATACCGGTTCTCACACTCCGTAATAGCATGGCACATGCTAGCATAAACACCATTCAGACAGTCAACTGACACCGAGCCTCCCAATTCTTGTATTATCATCTTAATGGCGATCCATTTACCATCTTTAACATGTTTTGGTATAACACCATCAGTGCACCTAACCGACGACCCCCGCCATTGTCCAGACACAATACCCACTAGACCATAATGGTGGTTTATATGGATCAACACACGTGTAAACATCCACGTCTGAATATCGTGTTTATGGCGCAGAAAAGGAAGAGTGAGTGAATTTAGTTTTACGCCGCACTCAGCAATATTCCAGCTATATGGCGGCGGTCTGTAAATAATCGAGTCTGGACCAGACAATCCAGTGATCAACAGCATGAGCATCGATCTGCGCAATTGGGAACCCGGATCTTCACGGGTCAGAAAAAGAAAAAGGATATTCTACTAGTTATCAAAATCTGAGACAGCTAGCTTAGTCTCAGTATACGTTTCACAATGAACCAGCGTTTTCGGCCACGTTCATTGAGAAAGAGCGTCAAATGAAACGGGCAATGAATGAATTCCTACATGTTTCTTCCACGGAGTATTCAGCGCTCCAGTTTGAATCCATATCCCACTCTCTGGCCTGACAAGAATATCTGCCTCTGTAGTCCTCTTCATTAAGGAAATCAGCGATGGTGAGTGTAGAACCCTCATAATGGTATTTGCCTGTACTTCCAAGCAAGCGGTTGTTTCTCCTCCAGATGTAAGACATCCGCTGACCATGGTCCACTGGCAGACTCAATGATAACGTTGAACAAATCAGGACCAGCGGTTTCCATGGGATAACAGAGCCACTGCTGTATATTCGAGGGTCCTCTGGCTTACCTGTAAATGGTTGAATATTATTGTGTATATTCTGGTATGAAGACAAAACATTTTGCCTTGACGTGTTGAATTACTCGAAAGAGAAGACAAACGTTTATGAAATAATTTTGCCTATTCCTATCAAGGCTGATATATTTCCGGCGTTTAGGTTCTACATTTATATCAGGATATAGGCAGGCACAAACTCAATGACCTACTGTTTTTTGCCAGGTACTGTTTTGTTGTATAATGTGCTTACTTCCACTGAACCAGCTTCCGAAATGAAGAAAGTGACTAAGAAACACTGTAACCATTCGGGACCGGGTGGACAGGCTCGCTGGCTTGGTTGACACATGTCATCAGTTCACAGTTACGCAGATCGATGCTCATGCTGTTGATCACTGGATTGTCTGGTCCAGACTCTATTATTTACAGACCGCCGCCATGTAGCTGGAATATAGCTGAGTGTGGCGTAAAACTAAACTCACTCACTCACTCACTGTAACCGTTCAGTTTTGGTTAAGCCGTTCTGGAAGGTATTTCATTTACATCATAGTTTTATTTATAATCGTACTGCTTAGTTTGGAAATAAAGCTTTAAGCAGGTCTGAAGAGTTTATGTCTCGATAAAACCAAAGTCAAAATGTATGGCAACATGAAACCTAGAAACACAGTTTAGGATTCGAATCCACAAACTACTGACACGCCTTGCCTAAGAGACACAGCCAACTGGTAACACATGCTCCCCTATACCTACGTGAGATAATCAGTACGTGGCGCCAGTCTGGGAGAATATGCCACTCTTCGTCATATTCCCTGCAGTCAAGCATGCCGGCATCAGCTGATGTAACGTTGTAAAGTGTAAACCGCACAATGAGGGAGCGGGTTGAAGTCGTCGATACGTCTGATATCTTGATTCGCGACCAATATTTGTCCATGGTATAAATCATTGTCCCGTTCACATGTAATATTAGATCCCCAGAGTCACGGGAGACATAGAAGTCGGAGTCCCGATAAGGTAAATTCCAAATAACAGTGGTGTTTTCCGTCTCATTTATCACTGTGTTACTCGGGTAATAAGACAAGACCGCTGAAACGAAATAATAGGATTATAGCAATATGTAAAATTAAAACAAGTGCGAAGGTATAAAGATAGTTATATAATGGTATTAGCTTTGACCTGGACATTCTCAAACAATCTACGAACATATAGCGTAATCAGAGCAAAAGCCAGGCAGACAGGCGCGTAGCCAGGAAAACACAGAGTGTAAGCACAAATGATGATTTAGAAATATTTTGAAATCAGGGAGAATATACCACATTTTTATGAACACAAGTTCAAGTCAATAACATCATTAACATGGTAAAACATGCAAACCATAAACTAGCGGATCAAACTCACGCAGATCCTGAACAAGTGAATATTGTAAAATAGTAATGTACCTAAACAACTTAAAGGAGACTGCAAAACTCGGTAAATGAACCACTTCAACTTGAAAGCATAAGGTGGATCTGATGACGACTGAGAGGATTCAACAAAGTGTCAGTGCAGCATTAGGTCATCACAGATGTTAGTCAAAGAGAAGAGGCAGTGAGTCTTGCAGTGTACATAGAACACCTCGGGATACTGGCGTTTAATGGTTGCCTGAACACTATTAGCCTGACCGTTCATGTTGGAAGCCCTGACCTCTCATGATTTTTTTTATCAATGCCATATTCACCTAATTCTGAATTCTAATTCTGTGCTGCCTTTGTGCTTTCTGCTTCAACAAATCCCCCAAAACTTTCATTTAATATCGTGCCTTCCTCATTAACGGACACATACCTGACAGAAAGGGAAATATGTTCCTTGTTTGAAGAATCAGTGGCCTCATCAGCGATAAGGGAAAAACATTCCTGAGCACTGCATTCATTTGCTATGTGTTTTTTTTATTTGTGAAGCACACAGGTGAAGGAGCTCGTTTGAATCTATGGTGACAAATATTTGTTGTTATTTGAACTATTGTCCAAATGGTTTTTTCAGGATGACATCATGCTGCGCCCTGTATTGCAAGAGAGCAACGAAGTTACTTTTGTCCTGTGTGTGCCTCCTAATTGCAATATTTTGTTTTCCACACAGGAGGAGTGTTTTAATGAGTGTTTTCAGAACTGAACGGTATTTAGCAACAGTTTTATGGCTACTTGACAGTTGCGTTCAAATATCATCTTGAACGTGAGAAGTGACCTTTCTGTAGTTACTGCATATTTCACAGCAAGTTTGGTGAGATTCAAAATTAGTGTGCCACTTTATCAATGTTCCAATATTTGCCCAGTCATTTATATAAACAGATACAAAGCACCCTTATTTGCGTCAGTGGCGAAAAGGACACATGGAAGACATATAACACCATCGTTGAGAGGAGAATGCCTTAGCCAAGGATATTCGTCAAAAAATCTTGCGTTAACTTTCTATTTTTGCCCCTGATATTCCTCAATAGGAATTTCACCGACCTATCTCTCCTGACGTCAGTTGCATCTAAGTCCCCGAGAATGAGAGAGCGAATGCTCTCAGTTTTGAGATCCTGTAATTCAAATGACTCAATATCAATACCAGCAAAACCAGTCTTCATATTTGTCAATTCTACCGGCTCAGCCGAGACATTAGATGATTTCTGATTTCACAATTGGCGAGGAATCATTACATGACTCAGATAATGCTATTGTATCAGAATGTGTTTGGGAACACGAGGTACTATGGTCAGGTTTAACGGGTGTTTCAGTCAATTTGGGTTGTTTAACGAAGTACGAATCAATTGTAGATGAACGTTTTGCAGATTTCTTACTCATTTCTGCGCTTAACAAAATATACAATACTTAAGTGGTGAGACAATTTCAAAGAACAGACCAACGATGTCGCCTATAGAACGAACGATTTCGGACTG